CTCGGCTTTCTTTGTGTTTGTTGTCTCGCTTTCTCCGCTTTCCGCAGTCTGGGCGGCTGGTCTGCGCAGCCGACGCGGCGCCGTGGTGTTGTGGGTTAATTAATAATTAAGTCTAGGCGCAGTTGCAGGCGGAGCGGGTGCGCGGCTTTTGCGGCTTATTGCGCGGCCTGCGCGGTCTGGGCGGCTGGCCTGCGCAGCCAGCATAGCGTGGAGGGCTGGTTGGCTTGGTGTCGACGGGGCTTTGCGGGCTGGGGGGGTTTTCTTGCGCGGCCGCCGTGGCTGCCTCGGCGCGTCCGCCGCGACCATCCGTGGCCCTGCGCAGCTTCCGCGGCCTCACGCAGCCTGCGCGCCCGCGGCTTGCGCGGGCTGCGCGGCCATGCGCGGCCATGCGCAACCTCTGCGGCCTGCGCGGCCTCCGCGGCCTGCGCGGCGTCCGCGACCTCCACAACCTCCGCGGCCTCCACGACTTCCATGGCCTGCGCGGCCTGCGCGGCCTCCGCGGCTTCCGCGGCCTGCGCAGCCTGCGCGGCCTCCGCGGCCTCCGCGGCCTGCGCGGCCTGCGCGATCTCCGCGGCCTCCGCGGTCTGCGCGCCCTCCGCGGCCTGCGCGCCCTCCGGCCTGCGCGCCCTCCGCGCCTACGTGGCCTCGGCAGCCTCCGCGTCCGTGACTTGCGCGGCTGCCGGCTTCCACGGCTTGCGCGGTCTCCATTCTCCGCGGCCTACGCGGCCTTGGCAGCTTGCGCGGCGTTTATGCGGCGTTCGCGGCTTTTTGCGCGGCCGCCACGGCTTGCGCGGCTTCCGCGGCCTCCACGGCTTCCGGGCTCCACGGCCTCTGCGGCCTCTTCGGCCTCAGCGACCCGCGCGGCTGCCGTGGCTTGCGAAGCCTCCGCGGCTTGCACGCTCGCTGCGGCTTGCGCGGCTGCCGCAGATTCCGCGGCTTGTGCTGCCGTCGCGGCCTTTGCAGCTTCCTCGGCCTCCGCGACTTGCGCGGCCGCCGCAGCTTGCGCAGTCTCCGTACGGGCGCGCGGTGGCGCTGCCTGGGGCGCACACGGGTCTGCAATCGCGTGGCATGCGGAAACGGCCTGGCGGCTTGTGCGGTTTCCACGCCTTCTGCGTCAGGGGCAGCTGCAAGCGTGGCGCGGCGGCTGTTGCGCGAGTATTGCTGCGCCCGCGGTTGGCTTGCGCTGCCGTCGCGGCCTTTGCGTCGCTGGGGGCTGCGTGGCTTGCGCGGCCTCCGTGCTTTGCGTGGCGGTCTACAAGATCGTGGGCCTGGACAATTTCCCGCGTCATACTTGTATAGTGGGCAAGCGCGGCGAGGAGGTCTGGCTGTGCGACTTTCGCTTGCGCGGCCGCGGCCCGCGGCTTCCTCGGCCCCCGCGGCCTCCGCGGCCTTTGCGCCCGCGACCTTTGCGGCTTGCGCGGCCTCCGTGGCTTGCGCGGTTCCCGGGCTCCGCGACCTACGCGGCCTCCGCGGCCTCGGCGGCTTGCGCCGTTTCCGTGCTCCGCAGTCTCCGCGGCCTCGGAGGTCGACGACCACCGCGGCCTCGGCGACCTCTGCGGCCGCGGCCTCCGCGACCTGCGCGGCCTCCGCGGCTTGCGTGGCCTCCGCAGCCTCCGCGGCTTCCGCGGCTTCCGCGGCCTGCGCGGCCTGCGCGGCTTTCGCGGCCTGCGCGCCCGCGACCTTGGCGGCTTGCGCCCTCCGCGGCTTGCGCGGCCTGCGCGGCTCCGCGACCTACGCGGCCTCGGCGGCTTGCGCCGTTTCCGTGCTCCGCAGTCTCCGCAGCCTCGCTTGCGCTCTGCAGCCTCCGCGGCTTCCGCGGCCTCCGCGGCCTGCGCGGCCTGCGCGGCCTCCGCGGCCTGCGCGGCCTGCGCGGCCTCCACGGCCTCTGTGGCCGATCAACGAGCCCCCGCGGCAGAAGGACTCCGCGTCTTGTGTGGCCTCCGCGTCCTCCACGGCTGGCTTCCGTGGCCTCCGCTGCCTCCGCTGCCTCCGCGGCCTCCGCGGCCTGCGCGGCCTCCGTGGCGCGGCTTCCCCGTTTTCCGCGGCCTCCGCGTCTTCCGCGGACTCTGCGGCTTGCGCGGCCTCTGCGGCCGCCGCAGCTTGCGCGGCCTCAGCAACCTATCGTTGCAAACTGCGATCGATGGGGTTTGAAGCAAGGCGCTGAGGTTTGAGCCAAACAAGTGTCTCTCCACAACGGCTGCAAGCCTCTCAGGGCATTCCTGTGACTGCGCACCACTTTTTTGGCAAGCAGCTATTCTTAAGATTTTCGATCTTGGTCCTGGGCTTGCAAAACATGTTCAGGCCGCGGAGGCCGCGGAGGTTGTGGAGGTCGCGAACGCCGCGCAGGCCGCGCAGGCCGCGCGTGCCGCAGAGGTTTCGCATGGCCGCGCAGTCCGCGCAAGCCGCGGAGGCCGCGCAAGCTGTGTGGGCCACGGAGGCCGCGCAGGGCCACGGATGGTCGCGGCGGACGCTGACCAGCGGCACGTCCCTCATCGACCCCGAGTCGATCAAGATCGCTTTCAGAATCAGAAACAAAGTAGTTTTCGTGGCAGTTGGGGTCCATTCGTGGCAGTTGGGGTGCAAGGGGGTTCCACCCTGGTTTTTTGCACCTGCTTTCCTTGGACAAGACTCCCGGACGTCGCCGCTTCGCCTCAAGGTGGCTGCTGTGAAGAATGCAGTTCAAGATCGCGTCCCTCTGCACAGCGGAGAGCTTGTGGGCTGAGTTCCTTGGCCAACGATAGGAGGCAGGCTCAGTTTATCAAATGCCTCAAAGGAAAGGATTTTGGCGACATGCTTTGAAGTGAATGGTAATGCCAAAAAGTCTGTTCCCTGGGCAATCTTCCTTTCCCAGCTCCAACATCGCGTACTGGAATCCGCCGACATTGCTTGGCGTGTCGGACACCTAAGAGAGGATGGAGGATAACCCCCCCCTTACCCCCCCCCCCTCGACGTCTGATACGTGGGGCACAGGGGGGGGGTACGCCCACGTACCGCGCGGCAATTTGATGACGTTCCACTAAACGTAGTCTTTGGGGAGCCGGTGTCGCAAAACAGGGGTCCCAGGCTCGATTCCCCCTGCCGGCTTTTTGCTGGTTTCGGTTTCCTGCCTCCTTTTCCCGACAATCTGGAAAAAAGCCGGTGTTTTTGGACGTCCTCTTTGCGAAAACACTGGAAAACCCGTTTTTTTGACGGGAAATACTGGGGAGCCAAGGGGAAATGCAAGGATACATACATACATACATTACATACATACATACATACATACATATGTATGTAATGTAATGCAATGTAAAGAAAGGTAATGTAATGTAATGTAATGCAATGCAATGCAATGTAATGTAATGTAATGTAATGTAATGTAATGTAATGTAATGTATGCATGCATGCATGTATGTATGTATGTATGTAGGTATGTAATGTATGTATGTACGTATGCATGTATGTGTGTAGGTATGTATGTATGTATGTATGTATGTGTGTATGTATGTATGTATGTATGTATGTATGTAGGTAGGTATGTAATGTATGTATGTATGTATGTATGTATGTATGTATGTATGTATGTATGTATGTATGTATGTATGTATGTATGTAATGTATGTATGTATGTATGTATGTATGTATGTATGTATGTATGTATGTATGTATGTATGTATGTATGTATGTATGTAAATGTATGTATGTATGTATGTATGTATGTAATGTATGTATGTATGTATGTATGTATGTATGTATGTATGTATGTATGTATGTATGTATGTATGTATGTATGTATGTATGTAATGTATGTATGTATGTATGTATGTATGTATGTATGTTATGTAATGTAATGTAATGTAATGTAATGTAATGTAATGTAATGTAATGTAATGTAATGTAATGTAATGTAATGTAATGTAATGTAATGTAATGTAATGTAATGTAATGTAATGTAATGTAATGTAATGTAATGTAAATGTAATGTAAATGTAATGTAAATGTAATGTAAATGTAATGTAATGTAATGTAATGTAATGTAATGTAATGTAATGTAATGTAATGTAATGTAATGTAATGTAATGTAATGTAATGTAATGTAATGTAATGTAATGTAATGTAATGTAATGTAATGTAATGTAATGTAATGAAATGTAATGTAATGTAATGAAATGTAATGTAATGTAATGTAATGTAATGTAATGTAATGTAATGTAATGTAATGTAATGTAATGTAATGTATGTATGAATGTATGTAATGTATGTATGTATGTATGTATGTATGTATGTATGTATGTATGTATGTATGTATGTATGTATGTATGTATGTATGTATGTATGTATGTATGTATGTATGTATGTATGTATGTATGTATGTATGTAATGTAAGCAAGTAAGTAAGTACGTAAGTATGTATGTATGTAATGTAATGTAATGTAATGTAATGTAATGTAATGTAATGTAATGTAATGTAATGTAATGTAATGTATGTATGTATGTATGTATGTATGTATGTATGTGTAATGTAATGTACTGTACTGTAATGTAATGTAATGTAATGTAATGTAATGTAATGTAATGTAATGTAATGTAATGTAATGTAATGTAATGTAATGTATGTATGTAATGAATGTATGTATGTATGTAATGTATGTATGTATGTATGTATGTATGTATGTATGTATGTATGTATGTATGTATGTATGTATGTATGTATGTATGTAATGTATGTATGTATGTATGTATGTATGTATGTATGTATGTATGTATGTATGTATGTATGTATGTATGTATGTATGTATGTATGTATGTATGTAATGTATTTATGTATGTATGTAATGTATTTATGTATGTATGTATGTATGTATGTATGTATGTATGTATGTATGTATGTATGTATGTATGTATGTATGTATGTATGTATGTATGTAATGTATGTATGTATGTATGTATGTATGTATGTATGTATGTATGTATGTATGTATGTATGTATGTATGTATGTATGTATGTATGTATGTATAATGTATGTATGTATGTATGTATGTATGTATGTATGTATGTATGTATGTAATGTATGTATGTATGTATGTATGTATGTATGTATGTATGTATGTATGTATGTATGTATGTATGTATGTATGTAATGAATGTATGTATGAATGTATGTATGTCTGTTTGTCTGTCTGTATGTAATGTAATGTATGTATGTATGTAATGTAATGTGATGTGATGTGATGCGATGTGATGTGATGTGATGTGATGTATGTATGTATGTAATGTATGTATGTATGTATGCATGCATGTATACATACATACATACATACATACATACATACATACAAGCGAGGGAGAGTGGGGAGAGAGAGAGGCTTGGGGGGATGGGGAGGATGGGGAGCAGGGGGAGGGAGTGAGGGCGACAAAACACACAAGGGAGACAAGGGAGAGAGGAAGAAGGAGAAAAGGGAAAGGTCTCTTGGCTGGACTCTACAGCCTCCACGGACGTGTACACTTGACGATCGCTCGGCAAAAACCTCAGGCAAAATGGTCACAGTACAATGTTAGCACTGTTCGCTTCCTGTCTAGGATTTGGATTAATTTTTCCAGCCAGGCTTCAAAGTCAAAAGCTTTCAAGAGGTGTTCCAGCAAGATTGGGCGTTGGAAGTTTTTCTGGTTTCGTCGCACGTTTCCCTCAGGAGCTTTGGGATTTTTTTCCGGCGAGGTTTTGCGGCAAGATTTCCGGCCAGCTCTTGGCGTTGCATTTTTTCGGCGAGGTCTTGTGACAAGATGTCCGGCGAGGTTTTGGCGATATCATTTTCCGGCGAGGTTTCGCGACAAGTTTTCCGGCGAGTTTCCGGGAAACTCACCAGAAAATGGTACTACCTGGTAGGGGAAAACCTGCCCCAAAAAACCCTCGCCAGAAGCCAAACGGGCTCACAAGAAAATTGCCTGTGGAGCCTCCCCTAGACCAATTCCTCACCAGAAACCAGACGGGCTTTTTTAAAAAAAATTATCTGGTGAGTTTCCGGGAAACTCACCAGATTTTAAATGGTAGCTGTACCTAGCCAATTTTGCAACTTTTCCCCCCAGCATGGTAGCCGGGCTAGGGCCAAAAGTTGCAAAAAATTGCTAGGTGGAGCTACCATTTAAAATCTGGTGAGTTTCCCGGAAACTCACCAGATATTTTTTTTTAAAAAGCCCGTCTGGTTTCTGGTGAGGAATTGGTCTAGGGGAGGCTCCACAGGCAATTTTCTTGTGAGCCCGTTTGGCTTCTGGCGAGGGTTTTTTGGGGCAGGTTTTCCCCTACCATTTTCTGGTGAGTTTCCCGGAAACTCGC